TTCTTGTGTCTGACTTATGTCCGACTTGAATGGCTTGAATCAACATTATGTCTGACTTATTATTGGGCATTCAACCTATTTTTATTAGTTCATGATCATTTTAACATGTGAAGACTACTTTTTAAGTGGTTTTTTAACTCTATTTTTTGAAATGTTCACCTGGATCTAATAACTTGTGTTGAAAGAAGATTTCAACATGAATATATTCATTTTTTTTTCGTTTTCCTTAAACAAATAGATTCTTCCAAACACAATATTATAGTTTTTGATGAAGAAGATGAGGTTGGGCATGAATCTAAAGTAGATGCAGCTCCAACAACACATACATCAACTGGTATAACTACAGAAAAAGGTAAATCTAATCGTAAGCGACAAAAGACTTCAATAGTATGGAAATATTTTACAGAATTAAATGAAAAATATCAAGACGGCAAGAGGCGTTCTGCATGTAATAGTTCTAGAATCAAATATATATATGTGAGTGTAGTCATAGAACTGGTAACATGCATACTCACATGGAAAAATGTGTGAAAAAAGACACTGGGATATTTGACAATTACTTCTAGCTCAAGGTCAAGGATTTATGCTAATGAGATCCACAAAAGTTTCATAAGTTAGCGGTTGAGGCAATACTTGAGCATGATTCTTTTGATGATTCGGAAGGGCAAATAGATGATGATGTTTTCAATCAAAATATGAAATCTAATAAGCTAAATCCGTTCAATGTTCAAATTCTATATATATTCTTGATCATGACTAAAGAGAGGTATTAAAATATGTAGCTTGTAATGCCAAGTTTTTGTTACTTATCTAGTTATGAGTCTATTTAATTATTAATTTTATATAATATTTCACTTTAATTTATGTAGAGTATGAGAATTTGATTTTTGAATTTGCTCGTTGTCGTGGAGGTGGAGATTTGATCTGTGTCATGAGATTTTGTGAATCATGGAATTTGGTGGAGTTTGATTTTGTGTATTCTTTGGTGTAATTTGGTAGTTTGGGATTATGGTTTGTAATATTATTGCTCTTTGGTATAATTGTGTTATTTTTGGATTGTATTTATGATTTGTAATATGGTTGTTGGTGAAATTTGATTATTTTGGATTGTGGTTTATACTTTATAATACGGTGTGGTATCTCTAAATATCATTTTTTTTTTGTGTTAGCTTGCTAGTTTTATAAAGTTATATAGCATTTTTAAATAAACAGGTAAATGGGTTAAATGACTGATTTACCGTGTTAACCCGACCCTAACAAACACAACTCGTTTCAAACTAAACGGATTAAACGTGTCGTATTGTGTTACCTATTTATTAAACGAATCCTGTTTGTGTCTAGGTTTTTTACTCGTTTATTAAACATGTCGTGAATGGGTATACATGTTTTTCACTCATCACCCATTTAACCCAACACGTAACCATTTAACTCGATAAATTTAACACCCCTACTTCTTACACAGTTTGAGTTTGATGAGTGCAAATTTTGTAGACTATTCTTGGATTGATGCATAATTGAAATCTACCTCACTTTGTAAAACATAGATGCACTAGATATTGTTTCATAATTGTTGGGTTTTGTTTGATCTAATATATAACATTAATCATTTTTTTGTATAATTATAAATCTTTTTTAGCATATTTATTAGCATTATTAACTATTTTTTATTTTTTTATTATATAATCGGTCCAGCCAATAACCCAACGGTTGAATCAGTAACTCATTGACTTGGTCCTTTTACCAGATTGATATCCAAATCGAGTTTAATTATGATTTGAATACTTGTGTTGAATTTTTAATTTGACTTAAAATTTTGATTAATTCTATAAGAATTTAATTCAATGTAATTATTGAATTATTTATGAGTTTCAATGTTAGATAGAGTCCACATTTAATCCAAATAATGCATTGTTTTTGATGATGCATAAATCGGCTTCGCACACCACCAGTCAAGTGATTAGTAATGAATGGTGTATTTAAAGTAGATAGAGAAAACAAGGATTATAGTGGTTCGGCCAATATGACCTACATCCACTTTTGAATGGCTAGGGTCGCCGAGTATTTTATTATTTCAAGGGTGTAGGGAGAGCAGAAAGTTACAAGCTCAGAGAGGGAGAGGAGAGTTGTGCTCAATTGAGTGTGATGCCCCTCAAGTATTGGTGAGTCTTATAGTTTATAGTCGTCCCCTAACAGATTGGGACGACTTAATAGCAACTAAATAACTATTTTATTGGAGTTGGCGATTTCTCCTCAATGGGCGAGGCGGTTACAATGCTCTCTATGAGACTCGGTCAAAGGATGAGGTGAGGGTTGACTTCTTTCAAAGCGACGAGGATGAGACTCTTGGATGACCCACAACAAACTGATGATGTAGCTCCCTGATAAGCTTGACTGGACTTGGACCGCATTGGGCTTGCTGGGTCTTTATAAGCTTGGGCTCTACGTTAAGGTTGTACATTCCACATGGATTGGGCCATTTGGAACTAGCCCATCATTTGCCCCCCAATGCCTCATGTCTAAGGAATCTTGAAGAAGGGGGCATTTGTTTGAATCTTGAACTCTGGGTGGTGGAGACTGCTTCTGATAGATGACTTTTTTCCCTCTTTGATATATCTCATCTTCCAGGATACCTCAAGTCTTTTCATATTTTTATTTGAATTTTTAAGAGAGCCCTTGATTTTCAATTTGGGCTTTTCTCTCTTTGAGAACCCTACGCTATAAATATAAGTTTCCTTCCTCATTCTACCCATTTCCTTCAACTCATTCAAGAGTGCTTCTTCTTGAAACCTTTGGAGATCCAAGGTTGAGCATTTGAGAAGCCATGTCAATTGGAGAAAAGTTTGTAGATCTTAGTGGAGAGACCGGAGAAATTGGTGTTGTCCCTAAAGTGGAGGAGGAAGCACTAGGCGACGGCATGGAGGTGCCTAGGGCATTCATTGCCACTATTATTCACACACCCAATGGGCTGTCTGAGCTGGGGGCACCGATAGCAGGCGAACCTGCTATTCCTGTTGTGGGTGCAAGATCCCAGGTAGTAAAAGAAACGCCACAGGGCACCCACGCTGTACGTGGGGCAGTTGGGAGCGATGATGGGCATGCAAGGCCAGCGGGCACGGTTGAGGCTAACTTGATCCGATATGTGTACACCCAAGTGCAGGTGGTCAAGTTATAGTAATAATTCAGTTAAGTCCAGAGTTGAATCCATGGGGAACTATTGTTGGTGTTTTGAAGTAAGCAGTGACGGAGACCATGTGATCGTAACCATTGAGATTCAAGGTGATGATGTTTAGAGATTTTCCTAGGCCAAATATATCATTTTTTCCAATAATTTTTCTAGACAAAATATAAGATAAATTCAAATGTAAACATTTACCCTTTAGCTCGAGGATCTGAACATGTAGTTAATCATCCGATTTATTATACTTGTGTTTGGTAACACAATTAACTCTCATGTCAACAGCAAGGTAATCGGAAGATAAAGGTAGATTGTGAGAATTAAGCGCATGGTTTTGATGCCTTTCTAGAAGTTAGAAGAATTGTTTGTGCTGAGACTCAACCCATCTACAAACAAGCAAGTGTTTCAACAAGACATCCAACCATGGTATTGATATTTCATCCTTTAAATGAAGTTTAATAATGGTGAAGATTGAAGGGTATTCATGAAGATCTAGATGGAGTACTTGCATTGAACCAATGAGTCTTTCTATACAAGATTCATCTATGTTATAGAAAGACTCATGGTTATACAAAGTACCTTAGCTTTACTAGATACAGTCAATCATTCAATAAGCAAGTGGAATATAAAGCATTTAAGCATAAATGAAATGCACAAAAATAACTTCTAGATAATTTATACATGTCCATCACCTCTTACTAAAGAGTGAATGAGAAGCCACTCACTCTTCATGGCTTTGGTAAAGCTAGAAAAGTGAGTGATGTCCATCCCTCCAAGTAGAGGAATTACGAGGTAAAGCACAATAAGCGAGGAGCCAATCATCGACAAAGAATGAGTGAATCATGTTCCACCCTTCATGGCTTTGGTAAAGCTCTAAAAAAATGGAAGAGTTTCACTCCTCTAAGGGAATAAGGAAGCTCAAGCAATGGAAGTGAAAGACAATTAATGAAAGTAGAAGAAAGCTAGTCACTTTTGGAGGGTTTCCACCGCAACCAAAAGGTGATCTACCTTCCTTTTTGCAAGTAATTGAAACCCTAAGTCTAAGACTAATTCTATAGCAAGTTATACAAGTGGGAGTCTAAGCCTCCATCCAAGCTCTCTAGTCTAAGAAAAAAAAACTCTTCTCCTTTTGAAGCTCCCACAATGGCAGTATTTATAGGCAAAGAGGAGGGGATAAGAGGGTGTGAAAGAATAGTCTTGGCGTTGAAAGTCCTACTGAAAGCCATCCACTCTGTAGCCTGTCTTTGGGACAACATTTGAACGTTGTTATTGTCTTTGCTTGATGGGTGTTAGAACGTGGAGAAACAGTCTGAATTCCCCGCTCAAGTGGCAAGTGTTCTTTTGGAGATCTACTTGCATACGTCTTGAATTACTGCCCTTGCCCTCATTAGCCTGATCCTCAATAGTGGAGAAGAGCGTTTGAATGTGGGTGGACGTTCGAACGTGGTACTCAAGTACCTCCATGTTTTCCTTCTTAATTGCAACATGCTATGTCTCAGCATTATGATCTTCAAATAATTCAAAGGAACGTTCAAACGTGAGTTCGCATTCGAACGTTCTTGCTTGGTTCCAAACTTTTCCAATTTTGTCCCCCAATATGCTGGTGTTACATTCAAGTTTGATATTTGTTGCCCTTGAGCCCTTGTTCACTTTAGGACCTGAAATGTCATCATTTAAAATCCATCAAAGTATAATTAGTCTTAAAAAGACATAGTAATATGTTAATTTTAACTACTAATCAGAGGCGTGTAGAGGGTGTGGACAGTTGGGGCTTGTAGCAACTGTGGAGGCGCCAGTTATTCAGGTACTAGGTGCTAAGGCAGCTATGGCTGAGGTTGAGATGTCTTCTATAGATGCTAAGGAGGTAGTACAAGTGAGCAAGGCAACCGCCCAGGCGAGGCAAACAACCCAGTTGTTGGGCGAGCCTGTTTTTGACGTGTTGGGGTTACCTGTTCATGGAGAGGATATGTTGGCCGCTCGAAAGAGGGTGCTAAGGGCCAATATGGATGGGCATATACTGGACAGCGCTGATCTGATCCATCAGGCGCCAAGGGGCATTGATCCAGGTGAGCAAGGAGAAGGAAATAGGGCTAGTCTGGGTGTGCATGAACCAAGAGGCACCATTTTGGGCGAGCAAAAAGGGTCAAGCGCCCATCCAGGTGCTGATTTGCCTTATTTGGGCGAGCAGAGGAGGTCAGGTGCTAGTTTGCCCTGCTTGGGCGAGCGAAGGGATCAAGCGCCCCTTTGGGCGCTACGTTGAGTAGTATAGGCGACAAGGGAATTTGGGGTGCCACTTTGGGTGTTGATTTGAGGAGTTCAGGCAACCAAGAGGTAAGACATGCAGACTTGGGCACTAATGGGCGTGGACCTTCTGTGGCAAATGATTTAGCTCCTTCAAGTAAAACTTCCCAAAGTAAGATTTCTGGTAACTCAGGCAACTCTTCACACCCTTGCAGCAAAAAACACAAAAGCAAAGCAGTTCTTGACGATGATGGGTCCAATGTAAGTACCCTTTCTAGTTTGCTCAATATTGATGACGATATTTTGAGGATTGTTTCTACTTATCATATTCCTCCAACTGTGTTGTGCTGCCAGGCTGAGATGGGTGACCCTGTTTGCGATGACTCCTCTGGTGACATTGTCATCTATGAGGAGTTGCTTGAGGCTTGGCTTAGGTTCTCTATGTCTTCTTTGACTTGTTATATTCTACATTATTTTTCATTGACCCTAGAACGGTTGGCACCTAATGGTTGGAGAGTCCTGTTGGGCTTTCTTGCATTGTGGAGGAAGGTGCATCATGAAGATGCTTCTCCTATGGAATTCTATGTGGCCTATAACCTGAGCTAGACTCTTGCCCCTAACAGGGGGTGGTACTATTTTACCACGATGGGTGGTAAGTTACTTACGGGATTACGCTCCAATTGTCATAGTTGGAAATCTTGCTTCTTATTCGTCGACGGCGAGTGGGTCTTAGAGGCTAATAGGGCTTTGGTACCAACACAGTGGGGTGTTCCCAAAAAACCTAGTACGCCCTACACTTGTTCTTTTCTCTTTTTTTTTTATGTGTGTACTTATCATCCACTTGCAGATTCACCTATGCTCTCAAAGGACCAAGAGTGGAAGTTACAAACCATGTGGGCTTAACCTTACAAAAACTTGGGAGTTCTTTTGCCTAAAGAGGGTGGTAGGGCTTGTGGACCCTTTCCAGGGTCCTCCTTGAAAAGAAAGAGTATGTTAATTCTATTGTACTTTTTCCCCTTTACTTGGTGTTTTGCATCTAGATAACACTTTATTTTTTTTGTAGAAATAGATAGAAAGGTGATTTGGGTCCCACCTCTCTGGTATGAGCCCTCCTCCTTCCAAGGTGGCGAGGACGAGCGAAGTCTTCCAAGTGACATCTCCAATGACGCTATCCGAGGTGTGCTCTCCTCAAGCAACTCCTCCAGCGGTACCCCAGGCGCGCTCCCATCAAGTGACCTCTCCAGTGGTGCCTCCTTAGTCAAAGACTCCTTCAATTGCATCTCCTACTCCATAGTCCCCCTTGCTCGCCACACCTTCTGCCCCCATTCATCCATTCCTCCTGTGGGAACTTCTAGAAGGGCACCAATTTAGATTAGCTCTATGTTGGGTAACACATCAATTATAAAGGATCGACTTGGGAGGGTTGTGTTTCCCAATGATGTTTGTGAGATTAGTGCTCTGGGTATCGAGGGAGTCATCAGCTCTTTTTTGGAAGGCCTAGCTCAAGTAAGGGTCTGTTGTCTCCCTTTCTCCAGTCCCTTTTTAAGCTTCTAACATTCCTTTGAATTTTATCTTTCTTCAGGCTTCTACTGCATCTATGTGTTTACTTTCAAAGCCCAGCAAGCTGAAGTAGGATCATGATGTTGTGCAAAAGGACCTCCTTGTTGCTCAGGGGAAGATTGCTGAGCTTGAAGTTGTTGGTAGGACTTCTGAGACTGATCTTGTGGCGACCCGTAAGAAGGCAACTAGGCTTGAGACTGAGCTTTCGGTGACCCATGAGAGGGCGTCCGAGCTTGAGGCAGAGCTTGTGGAGGCCCGTGAGAGGGAAACTAAGCTTGATTCTGAGCTTTTGGTGACCCATGAGAGGGACGCTCTCAGGGAGGTTGAGCTCGTAGAGGCCCGTGAGAGGGCCACGCTCAATAAGGCTGACCTTGTACAGACCTGCAAGAGGGCTATGCTTAGAGAGGTTGTCGCATAGGCAGAGGTGAATGGTGCTCTGAAGAGAGCTTCTCTGGTTGAGGTGGACCTAGAGAATAGCCTCTCAGATGCTTTCATTGACGGTTATAAGGAGCTCCGGGGGAAGATTTTTGCTTCTTTCCCTGATATTGACCTTTTAGGCTTCATGCCAATTGAAGCACCTGATGATGGTGATGGAGACTCTAATGATGCTGAGGATGATGAGAAAGAGGAGGAGGACGACCATGAGAGTAGTTAGGGTGATGGGGACTTTTGATTTTTTTTTTTAGAAAGGCAGTATGTAGCCTCACTTTTGTAAAAGTGGGTTTTTTTCACTAATGCTCCTCTGAAATTGAATACAAAAATTCAAATATATTTTTGGAGTAAATCTAGAAAGTTTTATTCATTCACTACTTATGTAAAGCAATATCGGATAATAGCCCCAAAAAAGTACATTGAATAAAATCAAGTTCCCCAATTTTATTACTTTGACTCTCTCAAGGTGTCATTGGTAGTACCTCTTCAGGAGCTCAGCGTTCTATGGATGGAGTAAGACCTTCCCCTCAGAATTTTGGATCTTGTAGGTGCCCGGCCTCACTACTTCTGTTATGAGGTTGGGACCTTCCCAATTTGGTCTCAGCTTTCCTTCTCGTGAATCCTTTGTGATGCGGATCACTTTCTTGAGCACCAAGTCTCCTAGTTGGAAGGAACGAGGCTTCACCTTCGAGTTGTAGTATTTCTCCATGCGACGCTAGTACTCCGCGTTGCAAACTACAACCATCTCCCTTGCCTCCTCTCCCAAGTCGAGGTTGATATGGAGTCCTTCTTCATTGGTGATGGGGTCGTGGTGTTGGACCCTTAGAGAATGCACCCCAATCTCCACAGGGATGACTGCCTTTGTTCCAAAGGCAAAGGAGAAGGGGTTTCTCCAGTTGGAGTTCTCAGTGTGGTTCGGTAGGCCCACAGTACGCTTGGGAGTTCGTCAACTCAAAGACCATTTGCTCTTTCAAGCCTTGTCTTTAGGTTGTGTAGCATGGTTCTCACCATGACTTTTGCTTGTCCGTTTGCCTATGGGTGCGCTAGGCTGGAATGAGGCTACTTTATTTGAAGGTCGGAGCAGAAGGAGTTCAGGAGCTTGTTGTCAAACTGCTTGACATTTTTGCTAACAATGGCGTGGGGTATCCCAAAGTGACAAACTAGGTTCTTCCAGATAAAATCTTTGACGTTTGCGTCTATGATCTTTGCTAAGGGTTCAGCCTCTACTCACTTGGTGAAGTAGTCAACAACTACTACCACGAACTTGTATTGTCCTCTACTAAGAGGTAAGGGGTCTAGGATGTCGATGCCCTATTTGGAGAAAGGCTACGGACTTGTGATGACCATGAGTTCTTCTGGCGGCTGCCTGGATACAGTGGCGAAGCGTTGACACTTATCACACTTCTTGGCAAACTTCTGGGCGTCCCTCATCATGCTAGGCCAGAAGTAGCCCTGTCTAAGTGCTTTATGAGTGAAGGAGCATCCTCTAAAGTGATTTCCACACACCCCTTCATGGATCTCCTGCAGGGCATAGTCAACTTCTTCGGGCAAAAGACATCGCAGCAATGGCAAGGAGTAGCCCTTCTTGTATGATGTGTCCTGTAGGATGGTAAATTTGGAGGCTCTTATCTAGAGTTTCCTAGCTTCAAGGATCATCTGGCAACACGCCCTCTTGGAGGTATGTCCTTATCAGGGTCATCCAGCTTCATCCGATAGAAGTGTAGTTGATGTTTGTGGTCGCTACGTCTAGCCTACTCAGTTCAAACTGGTGACCAATGAATGTTGGTCCACCTGGTTGGGCTTCCAAGGATAAGGTGAGCCTAGCGAGTGCATTTGCGGCCATGTTGTCTTCTCTTAGGATGTGACAGATCTGGAAGTATTGGAACTTTGTGATCAAGTTTTTCACCATACCGAGGTACTCCTGCATTCTGGCTCTTTTTGCTTCTAACTCGCCCTTTACTTGATTAACTATCAGCTGAGAATCACTGTAAGTCGCAAGGTGCTGGGCTTCCATTTCAGTTGCCAATCTAAAGCCAAAGAGGAAGGCTTCGTACTCTACCTCGTTGTTGGAAGCAGTAAAATGGGGCTTCACTACATACTTGAGGAGAGTACCGTCGGGGCTGATCAGGATCGGGCCTGTTCCACCTCCCTTACTGGTCAAGGAGCCATCCACATAGAGCTTCCAGAGTGGTGGAAAGGAGGGCTTGAAGATCGTCATGGGAGACTGGGCACATGGGAGTGCCTGGCGCTTGAGCTGGAGGTCAGGAGGGCGCCTAGGGTGGAAATCTGGGTGCCTGGGCGCCTGGGTGTCTGTACTGGGCACCTGGGTGTCTTTTTCAAGCCTAAGATTGTTTTGTATGCCCGAGTCCGATGTATGAAGTGTGATGGGCTCATTGGTTTCCTCTATTGGTGTAAGCTCAACAATAAAATCTGTCAAGGCTTGTGCTTTGATGGCCACCCTTGGCTAGTACTGGATATCAAACTCACCTAGCTCCACTGCCCACTTAAGAAGTCTTTCGGATACATCTGACTTTTCCAAGACTCTCTTTAGAGGCTAGTCTATAATCATAGCGATGGTGTGACTCTGAAAATAATGTCGTAGGTGCCTTGCTGTCGAGATGAGAGTGAGTGCTAGCTTCTTTAGCCCCGAATATCTGATTTCTGCTCCTCAGTATGCTCTGCTCACATAGTAGATAGGCTTTTGTACTCCATCATCGTTCTTGACAAGGACGGAGCTTACTGTCGTTGGAGAAACAGAAAAGTATAGATACAAAGTTTCACCTAGAGTAAAATGTGAAAGGAGGGGAAACGTAGCCAAGTAGGCTTTGAGCCTTTGGAAGGTTTCCTCTGCATCTGGTCCCCATTCGAAGGCCTTTCGAAGAATCTTGAAGAAAGGCAGACATTTTTTCGCAGACTTAGAAATAAACCTGTTAAGTGTTGTAGTTCTCCCATTGAGGCGCAGGACCTCCTTGGTTGAGGAGGGTGACTTTATATCGAGGATGGTCTTGATCTTGTCGGGGTTCACCTTAATTCCCCTCTGATTGACCATGAAGCCTAAGAAATTTCCTGACCCTACGCTAAAGGCGCATTTCTTGGGGTTCAGCTTCATACGATGGGACTTGAGAACAATAAAAGTTTCTTGGAGGTGGTCGATGTGATCTGTCATAGCTATGCTCTTCACCAACATGTCATCCACGTAAACTTCCATTGTTCGCCTAATCTGAGACTGGAACATTTTGTTCACCAGCCGTTGATAGGTTACTTCTGCGTTCTTTAGCCCGAAGGGCATGACCCTGTAGCAGTAGATCCAATTCGGAGTGATAAATGATGTCTTCTCCTGGCCTGAGCAATTCATATCCCGCGGTGGTGTTGATGAGGAGTTCAATCCGTGGCAGTGGATAGTTGTCTTTTGGGCACGCCTTGTTGAGCTCTGTGAGGTCAACGTAGAGGCGTCACTTTCCCTTAGGTTTAGTCACCATCAACACGTTGTAGAGCCATTTAGGATATTCTACTTCTCTAACAGTCTCATTATCTATCAGCTTTCCCACCTCCTTTTTCATAACTTGGGCCTTTTGAGTGGAGGTGCCCCTTAGCTTTTGGCGAACGGGCTTGTAATAAGGGTCGACATTGAGGCAGTTTATAGCAACCTCAGGGTCAATACCCTCAAGGTTTGCATGCAACCATGCAAAAACATCCATGTTATGCGTCAAAAAATTTATAAGTTGGCAAACTAGACCTTGAGACAAGGAAGACCCAATGTATACTCTTCTATCTGGGTACTCTCCATCTAAGATCACTAGGGTGAGCTCTTCGACTGGTTCTCCTCTTTCCACGATGGCATCATCCCTCGGGTTGAGGACCTCCACTTGCAAAGCCTTGTGTTGTTTTTTGGTCTTCATAGAGGAGACGTAGCACTCTCTTGCAGCTACTTGGTCTCCTCAGACCTCTCCGACTCCATTCGGGGTTGGAAAGCGAAGAATGAGATGGTAGAGAGAGGGCACCGCTCTTAGAGTGTTGAGAGCGGGTCACCCTAGAATAATGTTGTATGCTGACATGAAGTCTATGATTAAGAAGTTGACCATGACTATAAAGCTTTGGGGCGTTGTGCCGGTAGTGACAGGTAAGGTGATGGACCCTAGGGGGTACACCTTCTCTCCTAAGTACCCAATAAGAGGTGACCTGATAGGCTGTAGTCTCTCTCTGCCCAAGTTGAACTTGTCATAAGCCTCTGCCAACAAGATATCCGCAGAGCTACCACTGTCCACGAGAATCCTTCGCACCTAAAAGTTGGCAATGGTCATGGTAAGCACCAAAGGGTCATCGTGGGGGTGCTGAATTCCTCCTAGGTCTTTGTCTAAGAAGGATATGACCTCATTGTTTCCATACTTGGGTGTCTTGGATGGGCGCAATTCGTCGAGGTGCCTCGCCTTTCTGGTGTGGGCCTTTGCAACAAAGAGTGATTCTCTTCCTCCCGTTAGTCTTCCTGAAATAGTGTGACTTTCTCCAATAGGTTGTTAATCTTCCTGGTTATAAGGAGGTGGTGGCGACTGTCCTCTACCAGCAACATACTAGCGTAGATGACCACGTTGAATAAGGTCCTCAATTTGTCTTTTGAGGTAATAGCAGTTGTTGGTGTCATGGTCATGATTGCGAGGAAAACAACAATACTTGTTTGGGTTCCTACGGTTTGGAGGAGACTTCATCCTCCCCAACCACTTTATAGCGGGATCATCCTGAATCTGAAATAGGATGTGCCTGACAGTGGCGTTGAGGGGGGTGAATGCTTGTCGGTCTCTCTGAAGAACCGGTCCAACCCGGTCTTTGGCAGGCACCCTCTCTATCCTATTGCGCTAATTGCCGCTCTCCTTCTTGTCGTCCTTATCTCTTTCTTTTCTCTTCTCGCCTGTTCGGGATGACTCGCCTCGTCTCACCCTTGTGATGTCTTCAGTGTTCATATACTTCTGGAGCTTTACCAATAGCTCCAACATGCTCTTCGGTGGGCACTTCATTACTAAGAAGAGGAAGCTTGAGGAGTAGAGGCCTCCCAAAAAAGGTGGTCATAGTTACCTTGTCATCGGGCTACTCAACTTGGAGGACCTCCTCGTTAAAACGAGTGAGGTAGCTTCTCAGGCTCTCATCTCGGCCGTGTTTTATGCTGAGTAGGTGGATGGCAGACTACTGGTGGCGCCGCCCTCCAATGAAATGTGACACGAAGGATCTGTTCAGCTCAACTCAATAAAAGAAGCAATGGAAGCTGGGGAGAGTTGGGCAAACCATTGTCAGGCGGATCCCTTCAAGACGGTTGGGAACTATGACTACCTTTTTGGGAGGCCTCCACTCCTCAAACTTCTTTTTTGGTGGGCGCTTCATTACTGAAAAGAGGAAGCTTGAGGAGCGGAGGCCTCTTAAAAAGGCAATCATAGTTACCTTGTCATCGAGCTCCTCAAATTGGAGGACTTCCTTGTTAAAACAAGTGAGGTAACTTCTTAAGCTCTCGTCTCGGTCCTACATTATACTGAGCAGGTAGGTGACAGGCTTCTGGTGATGCCGCCCTCCAATGAAATGTGACACAAAGGATCTGCTCAGCTCAGCAAAAGAGGCAATAGAAGCTGGGGAAAGCTTGGCAAACCATTCTCGAGCGAATCCCTTCAAGGTGGTTGGGAACGCCCTACACATGATTTCATTAGGGACGTTGTGGAATTGCATCAGGGTTTTGTAAGTCTCAAGGTGATCGAGTGGATCTTTGGTTCCATCAAAGGTTTTGACGGATAACATTTTGAACTTTTGAGGAAGGGGTAGTTCGCCACATCTGGTGCGAAAGGTGTGTCAGTTCGCCTAATGAGGTAGTCCATCGTCTCAGGTCCTTGTGCATTCATGGTATTGAAGATGTCACCTAGTTGATTTTGCAACTCTTTTATTTTTTTGTCTCAGTGGTTGGAAGGTCCTCTGAAATTATCGTGGAGATGGCTCTCATGCTCCATACTTTGGTTTTCACCCTCATTTTCTTGGAAATGAGGATCTCCACCATGGGGAACAGGAGCTGGAGGTCCCTCATGGTGGGCCCCCTATGTGGGGAGCCCAAGGGGACTCCCAACGATGAGGGGCCCAAGGGGGCTCCCAATGGGGCGCCCAGATGGGGAGCTCCTTGATGCCCATGGCATGGAGCTCCTATGACTTGAGGTCCTCCAGGCTGTGCTCCTCCTTGTCCAGTGAGCATGAGTTGCCGGATCTGCTGATTTTAGGCCACAAGCTGCTGCATAGTCTCCAACATCTGCTGCGTATTTGGGACAGGAGCATTTGGGACAAGATTGGTTGGTGGAGAGCAACGTCCTCCTCTCGTGGTGGATTATCCTCATGTTGATTCATTGATCTAGTGGTGATCACCATAGGTTCAATAAATAAAGTGTTTACAAGTAAGAATTTTATCGTTACCACAGACAGCGTCAAACTGATGATGCACAAATCGGCTTCCCTCACCACCTATCAAGTGATTAGTAATGAATGGTGTAATTAAAGTAGAGAGAGAAAACAAAGATTATAGTGGTTCGGCTAATGTGATCTACGTCCATTTTTGAATAATTAGAGTCGCCGAATATTTTATTATTTCAAGAGTGTAGGAAGAGCAAACAATTACAGGCTTAGAAAGGGAGAGGAGAGTTGTGCTCAATTGAGTATTATGCCCCCCCCCAAGTGTCGGTGAAACTTATAATTTATAGTCACTCCCTAAAAGATTGAGGAGACTGAATAGCAACTAAATAACTATTTTGGTGTAGTTGGTGATTTCTCCTCAATGGGCGAGGCGGTTGCAATGTTCTCCATGAGACTCGGACAAAGGATGAGGTGAGGGTTGACTCCTTCCAAAGCGGCGAGAATGAGACTCTTAGATGACCTACAACAAACTGATGATGTAGCTCCATGATGAGCTTGACTGGACTTGGACCACATTGGATTTGCTGGGTCTTTATAAGCTTAGGCTCTAAGTTAAGATTGGACATTCCACATGGATTGGGCCATTTGGGCCAGACCCATCAAAATTAAATCCTCGTATTAAGCCTAAATAACATTTTCCTAAAAAAAATTATGTTTACTTCCAAATTTGGCGCACGAATCACAATTTGCATCAATTTCCAATTTCATAACCGTAAAAGTTAGTCCAAAACCCTGTGGGAGTTATGTTATTATTTTTAAAACATATAAAGGTAAAGTACTAGATAATCAAACTACAGAGGATAAAATGGAATTGCCTTTTATCTTTCTATCTCTCGAAACGAAAGTAGAATAAAAGGGGAGACAAGTGTCTTCTTTCGACATCGAATTACATTTCAGTTTGTGGGAAAGAAACTGTCTTTTTTCTTTGCGTAAAAAAAACATCAGACAAGAGTTCCGACCAGGAAAAAAAAAATATCAGAGGAAACTGTTATTCAACCACCCAATAAACACGAAAATAAAGAATATACTTTCGTCTTAAAAAGTAATTCTACCAATAGATTTATGGAAAGATCCATGCAGCATATAAACCGAATCAATCAAAAGAACATGCTAAACGGTTACAAAATAAAATAAACCCTGCACTGTATGGCATGAAAGAATGGAGATGAAGGTTGTCTGCTATCTATTAACAGAAATGTAATCTAAAAAAGTCTGAAAATGATCAATCTGTACAGTGTTTCTAACACAATCAAGAATCACACAACTAACTATTTCTGCATTCCTATAAGAGGCCAGGTGCAATGCTATGTGAACCTAATTTATTTAACTAATTTATTGATCTAATCATTCTGAATCAATTGATTGATAGTGGGTACTGATATTTTTTTAAACTTGCTATCAATCAAATGATTGTGATAGATTAAATCAATAAATTATGCGAGCAAATTAGGTACATAATATTTGTGTTCCTATTCTTGATTCAGTAATCAGTAATTCCATAAAGAACTCAAATCTGAAAGGGGGCCAACTGAAGGAGTCTCAAGGTCTTCATAAGATTTGTCTTGTGTTGAAACCACAGAGGATATCTCGGCGGTCATCTCGGTGCTAGGTCCCGTGTCTTGTGAGTGGCTCACTATAGATTGGTTAGACGATAACTGTTCCACCTTGCACTGGTTCTCCGGGTCGAAAGTTCTGTGATTCGCTGCTAGAGCTCTTAAATTTGTTTGATCAGTACCCCTAACGACAGATCCGGTATAATTTGGGATTGAATCGATGCTGTCTCGGTTGAAGTAACCAAGATTCGGAGACTCTTGGAAGGGAAAATGGGGATATTGGAGAGCGACTTGAGGGTATAAATTAGAATTATTTTGGTAGGAAGTGTTAAAGGTGTAGTTATTGGGGGGAATGAATAAGCTCTTGTGGTCCTGTTGCATTTGTAGTTGATTGTTATCAGTGTTCATGGAAAAGTAGGAGAGGTAATTTCCATATGATGATTTCACTAGTGCAGATGTAGCTGTCCCCTTGAATTCATCTTCTCCATTCGTGAAGCTTGAACTAGGTCTGTCGTTGTTGGAGTCAGGAAGGTCCATGAGAGGTGGAAGGGAAGGACTGTGCAACAGATCATCCACAAAAAAGTTCATCCTCATTAAATCAGTTGATGGACTTCTTCTGACTGCTGTGTTCTTGTGAAAAACCCTGCAAACAACCCATTCATCCTGCAATAGCTTGGTTGATAAAAGAAGGTCACTATGTAAGATTCTGAATTGCTCTAAAATCTGACAAAAAAGCAAAATAAGGGGCGGTCCCGTGAACAAAGAAATTAAAAATGAAAAGATTTACTCGGCCAACAAAAGGGTACTCCAAAAATGAAGCTAATTAAAAGGTTTCCATAAGAAAGAAAATAGAAAAGTGAATGATTGGATTCCAGAGAAAGGGGCATACTTTGGCCGCCTTAGGGAAGTTGTAGTAAGAGAATTTGCCATCAAGTCTGTATTCGTGCATGACCCAATTGGTTTTCTCTCCTTTAGGAGCTCTTCCTTTATAGAAAACAAGGGTCTTCTTCATTCCAACAAGACAACCTTTAGACTTGTAGATTTCCTTATCTTTTCCCGTCGCCTTCCAATACCCTGCTTCCGTTGCTCGATTCGTTCTCATGCCTGTTGGGTACTTCCTATCTCTCTGGCAATAGAAGAACCATTCCTTCTCTCCCATCTTTGCTTTCTCTGCATATTTAGGCCAATAAAATTCAACACATACCTCTAATAATATACAAACTGAAATTTGGGAACATCCGAAAAATAAATCTCCAAACAAGAAAAGGACTAATTAGAACTAAATTCATTAACCATCGAGATGAGAGCTTTTACTTGGCAAATCCCATGGTTCGCACTTGTTCAGATCCACCTCTCCAATAGCGATCGCACTGAACCTGTTTGTCGTCACCTTCTCCTTAAGATAATGAGTTATGATCTCCTCATCTGTGGGATGGAATCTGAAACCCGGAGGCAAATCTATGAGGTCTTCTCCTCTCACCATTACCGAAGGCCCTTCCATCTTTCTGCAGCCTGAAACTTTAGATATCTGTACAAATACCAAACAATAACTGCAACAACCAAGGGAAGACGAGAGAGAGGAAGAGATGAAGAAGATCTATCTGCTTGATAGGCGATTTTGATGGAAGCTGTTAAGAAAGTAGAATAAAGGCGACGAACATATCTTATATAGAAAAGTGGGCTCCCGAGTTCCGACCAGGACCTAGCTATGGAGTTCCGTGTGCTCCAAGGCACTTGTTTAAGAAGCCTCGTGGGTTGTTTGCTGGCATATTTTAATCAGAGGGTATCTTGAGTGGTTTTCTTCCCTTCACATGTCAATTTTTAAAATTAGGTGAATAACCATACTTCTTTAAAAAAGAGGAATGGTTAAAAAGAGAAATAACGTGTTCATCTAAAAGTACTATCAAATTTTAGATCTCAAATGATGTGGTATATTAATAGATATCGAATAGTTGGTGAAAATATGTCGGACTCACCAATCTTGTCATTCATATTGATTGGAAATTTAAAATTTGATAAAAAATTTTATGAATGTAACAATATTGATGAAAAAAAAGATACATTATGAGGTCAGTGAGAACTAGAGAGAGACCCACACCAAATTCCGTCTACAACACGCGTCGCACATTAAAAATGCAGCAATGTTATAATGATTTAATTTAAAATTTTAATTATGTATCTAATTTAATATAATTATTAAATTAGTTATTAATTTGATGTTAGATAAAAATCATTTTCAATCTAACATTTGTACTTAATTAGATAATCTCTAAATTAGGATAAAACATTAGTTTCCTTTAAAATGAACTCTTTATTCGTTGAACGTAAATGTCAGTAACTTTATCTAATGTTTCTGAATCGATAACAAAGTCTCTGTTCAAAGCTTTGGAAACTTTCTCTTACACGGAAAAAATAATGCTTTTTTAAGTTGCCTTTCTTGAAATGTAAACTTTTTTTTTTTTTTGAAAATGAAATGTAAACTTCAAATAGGAAACGGCGCAGCTATAACTCTGTTATTGGCTGCATTTCAAAAGTCGTCTTTTTTTTGGCTGTACTCAAAAGTTGTCCTGCGGGGTAGAGTAATACATTCTTCTTCTTTTCTGCACCGGCCAATACAAGAAATATGTAAGCTATTAACACGAATAGTTGTAATATTATTTGAACTTAATTTGTGATATAATTTAATAAATTAATTCATCACAACTATTAGATTGACTGTAAATTTTACCAAATATTAAAATTTATTGTCAATTCAATGATTATAAATAATTAAGTTAACAAATTAAGTGACTAAATTATGTCCAAAAAATATTACTCTTACATGAAATGTTACGACCGATTAAGCCCTTCAGTGGTTCCAATTGAACTTTCTCGAGCTCCAGAATTATGCACTTGCTTGCGCATATTTAGAATTTTTTGTGATAAACATCGGCTCAAAGGAGGAGTTCAATTGGAAAGCTTCAAAGAAAAAAAAAAAATTTGATAAAGGAGTAAGGCTGTACCTTTCACTACCAACCAAGGAAGGCAAATCTAGTGGTGGATTCTTTAAGTCGTAAATCATCGGAATTGTTAGCTTTTGTGTATTGTGCACGTGTTAACACATCGACTGAAATGAGATCCTTGGGTGTGGAGCACGATTTGATTGAAGTTGACACATTGCTAGTTCAATTCAAGGTTAGACCAGTGTTGATTATTGTCCGAATTTGATATTAAAAATTTAAGTACAAGTATACACGATCAATAAGTAATATAGTGATAAGTAGAGTATCGTTTTTACGAAGAATTATTGCTAACAAATTTCAAGTACTAACTTTATGTCAATTCAATTTTATTTAAACAACTGGAATTGAACTATGAATTTACTAATTTAAAACTAAACGTATACTTAATAATCAAGGGTTGAATTTTTCAGGTAAAAGAACTTAAGATTACAACTTTTCCTTATATTTCGTATAAATCTTTCTAACTCTCTTTCCAGTTAATTGATCAAAATAAGTTGTTATCTGAGAATTCAAAATTATTTATCAAATTTCTTTCGATAGTTAGATAAAATTATTTATCTCAATTAAATTACTATATTTTTATGCAAAATAAGTTGGAATAGATTCATTAAGTTCAAACTCTCATAAAAATTACACACGGCATATAGGTATATTCCTATCCTATACACAAACTTAGTTATTCAATCCTAAGAAAAATTAATCAGACGCATACCATCATATTCAGATCTAAACCTAGAATTCATCTCTCAATTCCATCTAGGTTAACAAACTAATTGTTGGCCACACAATCATACATCAATCACAAAATATGACAAACAACTCATCTAAGATCAATAAGAACTAGAAACAAGAATAGATTAATTTAACTAAACATAAGTTCCGTTGCAATCTTAATAAAAATTTAGTTCATAATGTAATTGAAAAATATTATTCTAAAATTAAACAACATCTTAGGAAATCAAGAAATAAAAGTAAGAGAAAAAAATGAAAACTTAGGTGCAATCTTCAATCCTTCTCTAGCCTTCAAGATTAATCTTCTTCGTGTCGATTCCTTCAATTATTGTCTTCAATTTTCTTCCAATTTTTTGGCTTTTTCAGATGTTTTCTACCCCAAAAGTCATTATATATCATCCCCACACAAACCCTAGCATATATGTAACTTTAGAGTCTAATTTTGGGTCAAAAATAAGTCAAAATTAGTGTCACGGACCAGTACAAGCACAACTGCGCCAAAAATCAGTTCAGGGGCGTTAAATGGACAGAATGTTGGCGCATGCCCCCCCCCCCAAATTAAGTCTAAAATTCCCTTGTTGCTTCCTCTTCAAAAATCTAATATTTTGGCTCTAAATTGACCTTGTTTCCTCCCAAATGATCATGATTCCTTCCAAATGATCATCCCTACAAAACAACATCAAAACACACAAAATAAATAAAAATGAACATAAAATAATTGAAAACTTGTAATTTCATCAAACCAAAAATACTCAATTCGTAAGTATAAAACCCACTCATCACTGATAGATCGTATTCGAGATGCACAGACTCAAGATTTCTATTTGCCAAAGGTAAATAAAGAAGTTAAAGATGGACTCCAAATTGACTTTTTGATGCTAGAAGATGCCACATTATTACTTGGAACACACCTTTGTGTAACTGATGACCCGCTACTCAAACAAGAGATATTAAAGGAGGCACATAATTCTATCTATGCCATACATCCAGGTAGCACTAAAATGTACCAAGATTTGCGGGAATACTATTGGTCAATGGACATGAAACATGAGATAGCTGAATATGTAGTTAAGTTAAGTTAAGGCAGAACATCAATGTCCCGTTAGTTTGCTTCAACCACTGCCAATTCTGGAATAGAAATGGGAGCATATCATAATGGATTTCATACTAGGTTTACCCCGTACTCTAAAGGATCATGACTTAGTTTGGGTAATTGTTGACTGTTTAACAAAGTCTGTCAATTTCCTTGCAGTTAAGACAAATTTCTTGTTGGATAGGTATGCCTAATTGTACGTAAATGAGATTGTACGTTTGCATGGAGCACCAGTATCCCTGATTGCAGATAGAAATCCAAGATTCACTTCTCAATTCTGGCCAAGTTTACAATAGGCTATGGGTACTATGTTAAAATTTAGCTCAATTTTCCATCCTCAAACGGATGGACAGTCGAAACGTGTTATCCAAATCCTAGAGGATATGTTGTTTGATGGAATTCAAGGGTAGTTGAGATGATCATCTCTCATTGATTGAGGTTGCCTATAATAATAGTTATCAGTTAAGCATCGAAAATGGCTCCATACGAAGCTCTATATGGTAGGCATTGTAGAACGCTGGTGTTTTGGACTGATGCAGGGGAAATAAAGATATTGGTTCTCGAATTGGTGCAAATGAATGTAGACAAGGTAAAGGTGATTTAGGAGAGACTAAAAACCGCTGAAAGCCAGTAGTAAAGTTATGCGGATAATCAAAGAAAGAATTTGAAATTTTTAGTTGATGACCAAGTTTTTTTATGAGTTTCACCATGGAAGGGGGTTATGAGGTTTGATAGAAAGAAGAAACTGAGTCCAAATATATTGGACCATTTGAGATACTTGAACACATTGGGATTGTTGTGTATCATCTAGCGCTACCATCAGACTTATATTAGTTGCATGATGTTTTTCATGTGTAGATGTTTCACAAGTACATATCTGATCCTTCTCACATTTTGTCAATGGAATTCATAGAGCTAAAGGACAATTTAACCTATGTTGAGGAGCCAATAGCAATTTTGGATCATAGAGAACAAGTTTTACGAACAAAAACCATTCCATTGGTGAAGATGTTGTGGCAAAGCTAGGCGGTAGAGGAAGTAACTTGGCAAAGCGAAGAGCTTGTATTTAAGAGGAGAAGAGTTGTGAGACCTGAGAATGCATATTAGATATTTCATATTGTGTCAGGGGTTTACACGCAAATGTGGACTTTAGTTCTGTGATCTAAAAAAATAATAATAATAATGTATAAATCTTGATAATAATTTTTTGATTTTAATTTCAGAATCAGAGAAAACATGTATATTGAGATGGGTTAGCTTAAGAAAAATCAAATATGTTACTATAATTAAAAATTGGTGGGCTTATATATATAATAATGTGTATAAATATAAATATATTTGTAATTATGGCCACATACATATTTATATATATAATTTGCATGTGTGACAATAAGAACTGGGTGGATGTGAAGTGTGAGCCCACTTGTCCAACCCAAATGGGTTCTAGGGGGGAAACTGGTGAGGCATTTGGTAGTGGAGACTCCACTATTGCTTGTCTTTTCTCTTGGCTTTGAAAAAAATTGAAGAAGGGTAGGAGCTTGAGGAGCTCTCCAAATTTCAGCGGAACTCTTTTAGGGTTGGTGAAGGGGTTGCTCAATTAAGGTAAGATCATCTTATCTAATCTCTTCTACCCTTCATGATCTTCTCTAGTGTTAGCTAAAGATAAGTATTTTCATGGATTTGGATGGTTTTTGGGTAGAGTTGAGTTCAAGAACATTAAGCTTGAATCACTTGAAAGGTTCAACGGAATTCCGACAAGGGAGGATCTTGTGGGTAGCCTCTAAAGTTTTCAATTCTTTAA